TTGAATGTAATACTGATTGGGAATTTAAGAATTTATCTAAAACATTTGAAAAAATATCTGGTATGAAGTTTCTTGAGAAAATTAACAAGGGACATATAAAATGTATACAAGTTTTAATTTTTTTCCTTAAATATTTAAGGGAATGTTTCAGTAACAAGAATGCAATTGCAAAAATTAATGAGGTGAATACAAATTCGAGGTTAACATTAATGTGTATATCTATAAACTTCACACTCTTATATTTTATATAATATGAGAGAGAACAAAGCTGCAGCAAAGGCCTTTGATGGACCGTTATTTCCCTTGTTTATGTAATTTATATTATCTGGGTTTTAGAAATATAATAACTTTATCAGAATGTTTTGTTGCTTCAAAATTCTAAATAGAATTATTGTATGTGTCTGCTATTTCTACAGGGCAAGAAGTGATATACCTCCTCCTGTCACAGAGCAATCAGATACATAAACCTAACTACATTCTGTTTGCCGATCTATAGAAAACTAACATTTTATTAGACTCCAAAGCTAAAAATGAAAGGAACAAAAATTGTTACCTTTCTTCAACCTTTACAAATGCTATTGCCTTATTCCTTTAATTGGAATCTGATGAACATCCAGGGAAATTTACCTTCAAACCATCTGTGGCATGTTTTCTAGTTCAGAAGGATACCAGAAGTCCTACAATTCTGAACCCCACCCTCCATTTGATAAATGAACAAACTGGGGTCCAAGGAGATGAAGGAACTTTCTTAAGTACCACAGATTTAATGGCTGAGCTGGTATTAGAAAGCATATTTCCTGACATTTTATCTTCTCTTGCTGTGTGCTTCAAAGTTCAGTCCTAAAGTGTCCACCTGGTCATCCTACTTTGAGTGAATAAATATTTACAATTTCAGATAGTGATTTATGGGAGCAAATGAAGTACATGATCATGTACTTCCAGTTTGCATACTCAACTTTCTTAAATTTTTTCAAAGCTGATATCCTCCTAACTTTGCATACATTCCCATTTTAATCTTCTGGTGAGTTAGGTTAATCTTTTGAAAGCTTTAGTTTGAATACCTTAATCATTGCCCACCTTTTATAAGAATTATCTTGAGCTGTGCCCTGGTGGGTATAGCTCAATGGATTGAGTACAGGCCTGTGAAGCAAAAGGTCGAAGGTTCAATTCCCAGTCAGGACACATGCCTGGGCTGCAAGCCAGGTCCCCAGTAGTGGTGCTCAAGAGGCAACCACACATTGATGTTTCTCTCCCTCTCTTTCTCCCTCCCTTCCCCTAAATAAATAAGTAAGTAAGTAAGTAAGTCAGTAAGTAAAAAAAGGAACTATCTTGAAATGTTAGAAATAGCTCAGCACAGGGTCCCATAGGTAGAAGATGAAGTTTTAGAGGGATAATTCAGCAGCTGGGTGGTCCCTCTGAGAAGTATAAGATCTAAAACCCAAGGTGGGCTTCACAACCGAGAGCACCAGGGCCAGAAAGAAACCCAGATAACATCTGGCTGTGAGAAGCATCAGGGTTTCTGTCTCCAAGGGAGAGATTGCTGGAGGTACAGAGAGCCTCTTATAGGGCCAATGCACAAAAACTCATTTTCAGCCACTTTCCTGGGCTCCAGCAAAAGAAGGGCAGAGTGGATTAGAGATGCTTGAAGAGAGTCTGGGGTTGGTGGCTCTGGGGAGAGAACTGAAGGAACAGCTACCAGGAGCCTTCTTTTGTGGCAGAGCACTGTTCTCCAAGTGACAGCAGCCTGAGGGGAAGCAAGAGACCCACCCACAAAAATTTCTCTGCCCCACCCTGTGGAGCTTAAGCTGGAATGCTTGCTGATTACAGCTTGATCACTTTAATGGCTGATTAGCTTAAGGCAGAAATACAAAGAAGCAGCTAAAATGGGAAGACAAAGAAACAGATCTCAAATGCAAAAATGAAAGAATTCTCCAAAAGAACTAGGTGAAATGGTGGCAAGCTATATATATCATAGAGAGTTTAGAGAAATGATTATAAGGATACTTAACAGCATGAAAAAAGACATAGAAACTATAAAAAATGACCAGTCAAAAATAAAGAATGTGATACCTGAAATAAATAATATACTGGAAGGAATACACAGCAGGTTAGATGGAGCAAGGATAGCATCAATGATTTGGAAGAAATGGTACAAAAAAAAACCCAGGCAGAACAGGAAAAAGAAAACAAATGAATTTTTAAAATGAGGAGAGCTTAAGAAACATTTAGGACAAGATGAATGGTAACAACATCCTCATCACGGGAATAACAGAAGGAAAAGAGAGCTAGCAAGGGATCAAGAACCTATTTGAAGAAATAATGACCAAAACCCTCCCTAATCTGGTGAGGGAAAAAGTCACACAAATCCAGGAATCTCAGAGAGTCCCAAACAAAGTGGACACAAACAGGCCTACATCAAGACATATCATAATTAAAATGACAAGGCTTAAAGACAAGGAGAGAATCCTAAAGCCACAAGAGAAAAGAAGACAATTACCCACAAGGAAGGACCAATTAGACTGTCATCTGAATAATCAACAGAAACCTTTCAGGCCAGAAGTGAATGGTATGAAAGATTCAAGGAAAAGCGAGGACTTACAACCAAGGCTACTTTACCCAGCAAGGCTAAAATTTAAAATCAAAAGAGAAATAAGGAGCTTCCCAAACAAGAAAAAAATGAATGAGTTTGTTAACACCAAACCAGTACTGCAACAAATGTTGAAGGGTTTGCTTTAAAAAGAAGGAAAAAGAAAGAAAACTAGAAAAAAAAAACAGTCTAACAATAAAATGACACTACACACTTATATATCAATGATCACCTTAAATGTAAATGGATTAAATGACTGATCAAAAGACATAAGGTAGCTGAATGGATAAGAAAACAAGTCCAATATATTGCTGCTTGCAAGAGACCCATCTCAGATTGAAAGATACACACAGACTAAAAGTAAAGGGTTGGAAAAAGATATTTTATAAAAATGGAAAAGAAAGAAAACAGGAGTAGCTGTAGCTATATCTGACAAAATAGACTTTAAAACCAAGGCTATGTAGTAAGAGACAAAGAAAGACACTGTATAATGATAAAGGGAACAATCCAACAAGAGGTTATAAACCTACTAAACATTTATGCACCCAACGTAGAACACCTAAATATGTAAAGCAAATCTTGAAAGACATAAAAAGAGTGATCAATAGAAATAGTGTCATAGTTGAGGATTTTAACACCCCATTGACTTCAATGGATAGATCTTCCAGGCAGAAAATCAATGAGGAGACAGCAGTCCTAAATGACATGCTAGGTCAAATAGATTTCATTGACATCTTCAGAGCATTTCACCCCAAAAGAGCACAATATACATACTATTCAAGTGCACATTGAACGTTTCCTAAGATAGACCACATGTTAGAATACAAAACAAGTCTCAATAAATTTAAGAAGACTGAAATCATATCAAACATCTTTTCTGACCACAGTGCTATGGAATTAGAAATCAATCACAAGAAGAACACTGAAAATCACTCAAGGACATGGGAGCTAAATAATGTTATTAAACAATGAATGGGCCAACAACAAGAACAAGGAAAAAATCAAATGATATCTTGAAACAAATGAAAATGAGGACACAACAATCCAAAATCTGCAGGCAATACTGAGAGAAAAATTCATAGCATTATAAGCCTCTCACAAAACAAGAAAAAGCTCAACCAAACGATCTAACTTCATATTTAAAGGAACTTGAAAGAGAAAAAAACAAAGCCCAAAGCCAGTGGAGGAAGGAAATAATAAAGATCAGAGTGAAAATAAATGAAATAAGGTCTAAAAAATGATACAAAAGATCAATTGATCCAAGAGCTGGTTCTTTGAAAAGATAAACAAGATTGACAAACCTTTAACCAAACTCATTAAGAAGAAAATAGAAGAGACCCAATGAAATCAGAAATGAAAGAATACAAATAACAGCTGACACCAAAGAAGTGCAAAAGAATGTAAGAAAACATTACGATCAACTATATGCCAACAAACTGGACAGTCTGCATGAAATGACTAGATTCCTAAAAACATACAGTCTTACAAAACTAAATCTGGAAAAATTAGAGAATACTCATGGAATACTTACTTGGCCATAAAGAAAGAAGAAAATTTCACCCTTTGCAACAGTATGGATGGACCTGGAGAACATTATGCTAAATCAAACCAGTCAGAGAAAGCCACTCATATGTGGAATCTAATGAACAAACTGAACTAACAAGGAAAATGGTGACAGACACATAGATGGAGAAGGATGACAGCTAGTGGAGGGGAGGTTAGAGGGTGGAAGGGCTGAGCAGAAAGGAAAAAGGACTGGTGGACATGGACAGCAGTGTGGTGATTGCGGGGCAGAAGCAGGTATAAGGAGACTAAAAGGTAATATAAAAAAACACAAAAGATTAAATTGAAAAAACAAAAGGAGTTATTACAACATCTTTTGTTTTCTTAAATTTAAGAGGTTTATATTTCTTTTTAAATTGAACTTACAAGTAAGAGTTAGACATAACTGTTAGTGAGAATATTAGCATATATATATGTATATATATATATACATACATACATATATACATACATACATATAGGGTCTGGCAGAAGCAAGGCCTGCTTGAGTGTGGTTGGTAGGGTAATAATATGGGTGTAATAATTTATAGTTTAAATAGAACATTTCACCTGAAATATCATGTGTGCTTGATATTGTTATGTTATAGAATTATATGTTTATGATTTTGTAATAAAAGTTTTGTAATAAAAAATGGGTGTTATTTGTTGCCTACCCTGTTTTTTAAGATGAGACATAGAAAGGGGAGATTCTACATTGCTAAAACCATTTATGGTTTTCTTACATGTAAAATCACACTAAAAGTCTTCTCAGATATGTGGGAATTACTTTTAGGAGATTTCATTCAACTTCTTAGGGGATTGCAGATATGAAAAAAAAAACATTAAATTCTATTAATTTTTATGCTTACAGATAGGAATTTCAAAGAACTTCCAACTCTTCTCCACTGTGCAGCAAAATTTGGCTTGAAGAACTTGGCTATTCATTTGCTTCAATGTTCAGGAGCAACCTTGGCATCTCAGATGAAAAATTCAGAGGGTTCAGATCCAGCACATATTGCCGAAAGGCACGGCCACAAAGAACTCAAGAAAATCTTTGAAGACTTCTCGGTAAGTGTTTTCCCCTTATTCATCTCTAACACTCCTTGTATAAAATGAGCACGCATGTGTCTTTGTATGCACACATGATCACTGCCCCTTTCAAGATCATGCCACTGAGCAGCTCGTTGGTAGAGTCTGTTGGTTTTGAGTCATAAAAGCATTCTGCAAGATTAGCCAGCTTATTTTTGTATTGCTGTAAACTGTCTCTGACTCCACATTTCCACCTTTAAACAGCCTTTTTGAAACTTATGTGGTCCTTTTGGATTCTGTATAGCCTGTTAAGTATTGGAGAGGAGACAGTGAGAAGAAAGTAAAAAACTACTACATTTATTCTTTTGTTCAAAAGTCTAAATAAGACATTATTAGGGACAAAAGGGTTTATATAAACACTCACTTTGTCTCTCCCTTCAACTTTATCTTTCCACTTTCTATAACCTTTGCCTATTCTCCCATATTCTGTCCTTCCTACCCCTACTAACACATATACAATAAAAAAGAGAAAGGAATATTTATTCTTCCAAATTACATTAACTTAATAAGGATGAAGAAACTTGATGTAAAATAAACATGGTAAATTAAAAAAATATATATTGGGCACATAAAAGAAGGTCAATAATTATTGGGTGAAATGAATGTATTTTAATAATCATTCAAAAAACTGCCCCATAAAAAGTTAATTCATGTTGCTTAAATTTATTTCTCATCTATGACTTCTTTTCTGTCTTCGTTAAGTCACAGATCCTTATTATATATGTTGAAGCCCCAAATTTCAGAACACTCTTCGAAGAATATTAGTTTTGTAAGAATGCAACCAAGGGAATATTTTCAAGGAAGGGATACTACCTTACTACATAAAACACACTTTATGTTTTCATAATCAACTCTAGAAAAACACTATTTTTTCTCTTTGTAACAGAAGTACATGCTTTTTGCTAAAGAAAGTGAATTATAATTCTATGGCTCTTAAGAAAATATAATAAGACAATTGTTTCACTGATGAATTTGTCAAAATTTGGGTTCTCATAAAAATGATTATTGCCAATGAACATTTAATATAAAACATCAAAAGCTATAAATAGCTTCTGGTCATTTTAGCATTTATTCTAATTATTAGATTAAGTCAGTGCGACATTGTACTTCTAAAAATCATCGGTATTTGTGATTTTCAAAGAACAAAATGACAACTAATGTAAATTTTTTCCTTCACTTTCAAGAAATAGCAAAATAGTTATCAGAAGAGCATGTGTGTCACTCACTATGTGGGATAGGGGTCCCCTTGTGCTCCAGGGGTCCCCCACCCCATACTAGGCTTGCCTTGCCTGCTGCCAAGGAAAGACATCTCTCAATGCCAGAGACTGGTGAAAAGGAAAGAGATTATTTATTTAAAGAGTTATACCAACTTAAGAGTAATGACTTTATGTCTTCATTGAGATCCCAAAGTCCTTCAGAATACCCATGGATGCACAGTTCTTTCTTCCCCACCCGCCCTGCCCAATCTGGGATACCGTATCTCAGAAAAGAAATAGAAGTCTGTGGTTCTTCTCTGCCCAGGCCACATGGTCCAAAAAGATCCTGCATGGCTGCCACACCTGGGTTTAAATCCCAGTGCCAATCTTTCTCTGCCTCACCATTTCTGACTCCACCCACAACTGGCCACAGCTGCCAGCATTCCCATAATTTTCCAGCTTTACTGGGCTGCTATAAGTCCAGGCAGGCATGGCCCCATAGCATGGAGCTAATCATCTCCAAGCTCTTACGCAGGCTCTGTAACCAGAGCTAGTAGCCTCCCAATTACGTCATGAGTTGAAGTCACTCCCATCCCCCAGGCTCAGAACATAGCCACGGCTATTTAACATATCTATGAAACCAGTTAAAGATTAAAGATATGTTAAATGACTGTTCTAGAGGTTGTCTTAAAAACTGTTGCTATTCAAAACAACTCTCAATGGCCCTGCTCCATGTGTCCCATCCCTCAGCTCAGACTTGTGGGGGTAAGGACATCCTACATATATATACATTTTTTAAATATTTACTGGACAACGAGTTCTGGACCCCATTACAAATCCCAACTTGGGGACTCTCCCTTGCCTGCACCCTGTTACAAATATAGGACATGAAGTTTTGTAAGAAAATTAATAAAGTACTAGATTTTATTCTATGTCCTTGAGGTATGGAATAAGCATTATTCTTACTCCTGGAAAGAATTTAAATGGTAATTCTTACATAGTTGATGAGTGCATACATTTTAGTAACCAGCCACTGCGTGTCCTCATTGACTAGTGCAACATGGCATCTACCTCAGGTAAGTCAATGACTCAATTCGGCCTTGTGTCTTTTTACCCATTATACTGTGCATTCAGCTTCATCTCAATTCTCCACAACCATTTTCTCAAATTTTCAACCACTAGTGGACTTCAGTTAAATTTTCCACTGAAAATCTTCAGTACCCAGAGTTACTTCCTAAAATAAACACTAATTTTCAAAGAGTGAAGCTTCCATTTCTGGCTCTCTAGAGAAGGCTCAGCTCTTAACAGAGGAATCCCCATGCAAGCTACACATGTTCCATAAATAATATACTAGTATATAATAATGACAATAGATACAATAGTGAGTAAGAACGAAGGATTTGATGGAGATGGGAAATGCTTTTTTCTTTCTCTCACATCCTTAGGTATTTATATCTCTGCAACAATAGCACTAATACAATTTGATTGTTGTCATTGTGTTACAGAACACAGCACACACAGGGCCAAGGGGAGTCACGATGTACTACTACTGGAAGGACCCCCTACCAGGTTCCTTATGTCTGCCACCAGATAGGAAAGACGTCTCTCAAGGCCAGAGATTTGCAAAAAGGAAAGGAAATGTTTATTTAATGCTATACAGACTTAACGTAGTGACCTAACATTTCCATTAAAATATCAAAGTCCTTTTTGGATACCCATAGGCAGCCACAGTGCTTCCTTATCCCCTCTTCCCTAATTCAGGCTACTGTAACTCCAGAAAAGAAGCACATGTCCATGTTTCAGGCCGCTGGCACAGTCAGCTGTGTAGCCATCTGGGCAGGATCTCTAATTAATCCAAAGCCATGTGGCACCTTCTCATGGCCTACTGGAAAGAGTTGTTTCACCCTTCTTCTAGGCAAAGTCTCTCCTGCTTCCCAGGCCACGTAGCCAGAGGAAGCACCCCAAAGCTGTGTGATCTTCTTCTACCAAAGCTGCAGGGGTCTGCACTCTGGCCAAACTGCATGGATATCTTTTCCTGGCAAAGCTGTGAGGGGGCACCACTCTGGCCAAAAGTGGGTGGCTCTCCTTCCAATGGCTGCCATGTCTGAGTTGAAATCCCTGTGCCAGTCTTCCTCTGTACCCCCATTGCAGACTCCTTCTACAGTCAGTTACACCTGCCAGCATTCCTCTATTATTCCATGTCTACTGGTCTGCCATCCTGAGTCTGGGCAGGTGTGGCCCCATGTCATAGAGCTAATCTTGTCCAAGCTCTCACACAGGCACTGTCACCTGGGGGACCTGCCCCGAGTTACATCTTGGAGGGAAGTCCCTTTCCATCCCTCTGGCTCAGAGCATGGCCACAGCTACTTAACATATCTATGCAGCCAGTTAAAGGTTATAAATATGCTAAATGACCATGCCATGGATTAGTCGCAAAGCTGTTGCTGTACAAAACAGCTCTGCATGTTCCTGCTCCATGTGTTCCTTCTCTCAACTCAGACCTGTGGTGGGGAAGGGGTAAGAACATCTTATATGTCTTTCTAATATTTCCTAGACAGCTTGAGTTCTGGACCCCATTCCAAATCCCTTTTTCGGGAGGGCCTTCCCTCTTGGCTGCACCCTGATCTGCCGGTGACTACTCATTCTATTATAGTGGCTGCATTCAGTGTTGCTAAGTTGTGCTTGATAATTATTCTTTCAAATATATTAAATGATTTTATTTATCCCATCTCTTAGCGAGCTGTTACATTTGTCTACTGTAGAATGTTGTAATAGACATTCATTACAATTATAGGTAGGAGGGATGTTATTTTGTGAATGTTCTGCTGTTAGCAAGAAACTCAATGTAGCTGTTGAAAGGGACAGCAGATTTATAAGGGCATTTTATGGCTATGGATAATTTGGAGTTCCATAATTTTGCAAGCTGCCAAAGGCCTTTGGCAAATGCGTGGTTAAGAAAATGAGAACATATGTATTAGGTTATAACATACAAGAAAAAATGTGTTTCCTATTGATTAATTCTTCTAGTTATTTTTCTATTTATTAATTTTATTTAATATAAATCCAAAAGTCATACCTTTTTATGCTAGATAGTAGACATGTTAAGACTTTATATTCTAAATTATGGAAGCTATGTCTTTTTAAGAACATATCTAAACCTGCTAGAGAAAAAATATGCAATCTCATTATGATGTTAAAATACTTTATTGTTTCTTTAACAATATTTACTTGGCTTTAATGTTATAATCACATATGATAAATCTAAGACTGTCACATACACATTCAAATTTTTCATGAACTATTATTTCAAAATTATTGAGAGGAGTATATATTCTTTCATGTTTGAGGTTTCCAATCCAACAATGGACCTTACTTCTGTACTGAAGAAATATGTATATTTAAATTCAAATGTATTTTACCACCAGCTGATTTCCTAATTTGATCAATTCTTACTTAATTCCCCACCAGTGACACATTGTACATGTTAAGTTCTCAAAGGAAGTTATAATACAGTTTTGCATACAGTAAATTTGGTCATTACTGAATAAAGTGAGTAGAAGGAAAAAGCCTCATTATTTTTAGAAATGCAGAAAAAAGAGCCATTAGCATACCTTCAATAAACAAAAAAGTGCATCTACATCTTAGTGTTGGCTACATGAAGGAAGAGGAGAAAGACAAGGAGACTCAAATCACATGTCTTACATTTCTTCATGGCGTTTTTCCTTTGAGAGGTTAATAATTTGTATACAATCTACAAACAGAGCCTCTTTGTTATTAATGAGT